TGGTTCTGAGTACATTTGAAAGAAGCAAACATCAATTATTTCATGATAATTACAGTCAGATTGTTTTCCACCATATTTTGTTCTCTTTTTTCACCTCTTAAAAGCGTGGAGGGGACCATGAGCAACCATTCAAAACTGTCTGCAGTCAGTCATTTTTCAGGTTTTATGGACATTCTTCTACTCTAGAGTCAGAGACAAAAAGCACTCAACACTCACTCACTCTCCCTACATTTTAAAGGCTGGTGGCCAAAAGTAGGACACCACAGCTGTATTATTTTCAGAAGGGAAGCTGTGTTAAATGCTGTAGCAACAGTTAGAGGATGTGGATTCAACTAGTTCTGTCTCTACTTCAAGGCCAAACTTTTAAAAAAGAATCATTACGAAAGAAAATGTTCAGGCTATACATTCAAATCACAGAATAAAAACACTATTGCCAGAACAGCCTAGTTTCTGTTTTCTGCAATCCAAACCACGTGCACAAATAACTTCTCAGAGTGGCAGATGATGCAATGCACAATACGCTGAAGCACAGAAGAAGCGACCATAGGTTTTCCATAAGATTTCTCCAACATTAAAGTTCTGGCGTTAGTAAATAATTGCTTTGTACATCTTGTTCATAACTCATGATTCGCAACCTGCTAAAGTTCATCAAGGTAACACCAGAAATGATAACAGTTACCTTGTGAGCAGCCTGGATGGCAGCCCAAAACTATTATGCAATACAAAACAAGCAGAGCTGAACATGCTTCCTTCCAGCTCCAGACTTCTGCAGCGGGAAGATTTCTGCTGCAACTGTGCAAATCTCACACTGACCCTTGGGCTGTGTGCACAAATGTAGGGAAGCAAAAATGCTCAGAGCATGGTGTCTCTAAACCACATTATGCACCCCTTTAATCCCACCTAAGATTGACTTAAAAGAACCAAAGGAATTTTGCAAACTTCCCCTATAAATCCTTGACTTAAACCACAATTGAACTCAACATTTTTGTTGCTGTTTAAGTGGATTTTGCCTTATTTTACAACATACAATTATTAAGTGCAGTTATTAAGTTACTAACATGGTGGTTAAGTGAGTTTAGCTTCCCCATTGACTTTACTTGCCAGAAGGTCACAAAAGGTGACCATATGACCCCAGGACACTGTAACCATCATAAATTATGAGCCATTGTTGCACAGTGGTTAGAATGAAATATTACAGGCTAATTCTGCCCACTGCCAGCAGTTTGGCAGTTCAAGTCTCACCGGCTCAAGATTGACTCAGCCTTCCATCCTTCCGAGGTCGCTAAAATGAGGACTCAAATTGTTGGGGGCAATATTGCTGAAGACGAGTCGGTTGCCAAGCATTTGAATTTTGATCATGTGACCACAGGGATGCTACAATGGTTGTAAGTGTGAAAAACGGTCACCAATCACTTTTCTCAGTGCCGTTGTAACTTTGAACAGTCACTAAACGAATTGTTGTAAGTTGAGGACTATCTGTAGATAGGTTAGTTTGCTTTATAAAATTCCCCCTACTTATTTCAATGTTAGGACATAGAAAATCAAAGAGCTGTAGGTTGTTCATGTTGCTTTTCCACGTTAGTCATTCATTCATACACACACACACATTCATTCTTGTTTTAGTGAAAAGCAGCTGTAAACTCACCCTCCTCCACCCAGCAACAATAGCTTTTAATGGCATCATTTCTGATTGCAACAGCAGACAGGCTTTTCAACTGATTGAGAAAGCAGGCAAATTCATTCACTGATGCTTATCGGTCAAATAAAACAAATTCCTTGTGTTTTTCCTTCCTTCCTTCCTTCCTTTCCTTCCTTCCTTCTTCCCTTCCTCCCTCCTTCCCTCATCTTTTTTGCTTGTTGTTGACAATGCCACAAAACTACTGGATGATTAAATAACACAAGACAGAGGCCAGACCTTGAAACTCAAGGTCACCTGTACTATGGAAACTGTATTTTCAATTTCAATAATCCTCAAGTTGTGTCTATGGGCTTCGATCACACTTTGGGCAATGACAGCAGAGAGGATAGGACAGTTATTCTCTGCAAGTGGAGAAACTGGAAAAGCGAACAATAATTAAACAATGTTGTCTATTGGGACTCTTGAAGTGCATCTTCTCTATAGCAGTATTTATTGCAATACTTCTCTGACTTGTACTTACTGCAATCCAAACCACGTTCAAAAATAACTTCTCAGAATGGCAGATGATGCAACACACAATATGCTGAAGCACAGAAGAAACAACCACACATTTTCTATAAGGTTATAGTCCACCCCAACCTCAGATCTGGATAGTCCTCACTCTTCTGTTTAGAAGGGCCAGGAAGACCTGGCTCTTCACCCAAGACTTTGGCCAGAGAGAGACCTCCTTTGTCACACCTGCCATCTTTTATTTTTATCTTTTATTACAATTTCTTTGTTGGGGCCACCCAGAGCCATTGAGAGTCGGGTAAGCATACAAATTAAATAAAATATTACCAGTGTTCCTCTTTTTTGAAGCAAACCAGAATTGCTCTTCAAATTCATGCTTCTTTTAAGTGTCAATCCAGTACCTGCCACGCAGTCATGAATACTTCAAGTTATTCTCTTTTTAATGAACATATTGTTTACAGGCTAGATCTCACCTAAGAAAAGTTGCACATTTTATTGGACAAAAATATGCAAGTTTAGAAGTCCACCCCTGTGATTTAAGTTGCATTTACTGACATCCAGTTCCCATGACCTGCCATGTGCCTCTTCTCCAGCCCCCAAAATACATTCCAGAATGGACTGCCTGCTAAAGTTCCCCTAAATGTATCCAGAGTTAAAGGCACTCACTACTTTGCATCAGAAATTAGGAATTAAACTTTGAAGTTGCATGCATCAGCCTGTCTATTAGAGCAAGCATCATGACAATCAGAAGCAGAAACCGTTTACCCATGTACCACTGAGTTTGCAACTGACACATGGGTGGTTTATAAATAAATATCTATAAAGAAGCAAAACCTACGGCTTCAAGATGCCTCGGTTTTAACAAATACATTTTAATTCAGACTTGGGCTGTTTTTAAGAAAGCAAATAAGCTACAGTACCCACTGTATTTTACTGCATTGGATATAGGTAGTCCTTTACTTACAACTGTTTATTTAGTGACTGTTCAAAATTACACCACTGATGACTGTTTTTCACACTTAAGATCATTGCAGCATCCGCAAGGTCACATGGTCTGCAAGGTCACAACCCTGGTCCTAACATAACTGCAATGATTCACTTAACAACCATGACAAGTTGTAAAACGGGGCAAAACTTACTTAACAAATGTTTTACTTAGCCACATAAATTTTGGCCTCAGTTGTGGTCATAATTTGAGGACTATCTGTATTGATGTCTTGGAAGAGTCCTAGTCGTGCACTCCTAAATACACCTCAGGCAGAAAATATATCTTGTTCCCAGTCTGTCCGCCATCAAAAATGTTGCAATGTTACATTTATTTACTCTTATGTTCTCAGCCCTCTTTTACACAACACATCCGGTCCAAATGCAATTAAGAGGTAGGGATAGGCATGCCTATATTCTGAAAAAAAGCAAGCCTATTTTGCAGAGTTTGTAGTTCAGAGGTTTGTGTCAGGTTTCCTACACCAAAGCCTGGGACAAAAAACTTTCTGTGCAATGCTTCTTTATACACCACACTCACACCTTACAGCACACTTTACGGAACAGTGGTTTTTCTGTTGGATTAAAAAAAAAAGGTCCTTAATGATCCATGATTCATTGCTAGTCTCCTGTAAATGTTTCTAGGCTTCAATCACTATTCCTGATTACCTTCAAAGCACAGTATTTTCTTCCCTGGCCAATGTTTGTACTGTTAAGGCACTCAAGGGAGCCACTGAGAACCTAAGTATTAATTAATCTAAACTTGGAAAGGCACCAAATTGGAGATAAATATTATTCTGAGCCAGGATCCTCATATCTATAAGCAAGTTTCAGACGGGATATTAGCCATTTTGAGCATTTTCCCAGGAAAGGCTGTTCCTGGCTGGAAAATCCCTACTGCATGCTTGATCCATGTCCACTTTGTTTCCTTTTAGACAAATAAGAAAATTCCACTCCACTTATGTTTTATTGTGGCCTCTGAACTCATTTATGCATTGTCTTTCTACACAGAAATGGAGAGATTTCATGACAGAGTAGGCCTAGGGCCCATCTTAAAGAAATATGCCACCTCTTAAGGACCTTAATTCCTCTGTGTGTGTGTGTGTGTGTGTGTGTGTGTGTGTGTGAAGAATGCCAGCCTTTTCCATTAAGAATAGGAGAAAAAGTCTGAAGTCAGGTTTAGCCTCATTGTGGTATTCCCTCTTGGGGTGAATCCTCCTTTCTCTTACCCACACAGAGTTCAAGGGCTTATTGATCAAATGAAAACTCTTGAATAAGTGGAGAAAAGCTGGCAAGCTTGAGTCCAGCCTGACAGCTGGCCCTGCATGGCGGGACAGAACTGTCTGCCCTTCTTGGAAAGACATTAGGAGTTTAAAAAGTTGGGCACCATTTCAGGGTTAAGCCCCGGATCGCTCCCTTCTCAGAAGAACAATTGCCCTACCTTAGCCTGCAGGAGCATTAGCCCCAGAAGCATTATTGTACAAGACGTTTTACCCTCCGCCAGCAGGCCAGCTCACTTTCTTGCTCCTTCTCTTCCAAGGTTTGCAATAGTTTCCTTCTCACCGCCCCCCCCGCCCTTCTTTCCATGGCAGAGGCTCCCCTTGGTGCTCCGCTCTCTTTTCCTGCTCCCTTCCCTGCATGCTCAGAGGCTCCCTTAACACCTCTGCATGCTCTTTGCATACTCAAAGGCAAGGCACAGTCCTAACACCGCCTTCTCCTCCATGCTCAGAGGCTCCCTTTACAATGCTTCTTCTCCCTTCCGTGGCTCTCTCTCCGTGCTCAGAGGCCCTCTCAGCATCTCCCCCTCTGGGCGCTCTCTGCATGCTCAGAGGCACGCCAACCTCTCCTCCCTCCAGCGGCTTCTGCTCACCGCCAGGCGTGGTTCCGAAGAGGGTGCCGCCAGGCGTGGTGCCGTAGTCGCCCGGAGGCAAGGAGACTCCCTGGGCCAAGTCGAGCAGCTTGTTAGGGCCGGGGATAGCCCTGCCCAGCGTGGGCTCCGGAGCGGGGCGACAACAGGCGGCGGACATGGCCGGGGAGAGAGAGAGAGAGACGCCGATCGCCTTGCGAGAGCCGCAACCGCCTCCTCTAGCGCAGCGAAGGCTCCGCGGAGCGCCCGCCCCGCCCCACCCCGCCCCGCCCCGCCCCCTTGTTTGGGCCGCGCAAAGCCCCTCGGGAGGTGTAGTCTTCCAACCCGCCCCCGGGCACGCCTCTCTCGCTGCCGAACCAGCTGGGGCTGCAGAAAGGAGGCGGGTTCGCCTCGCGGGACGCGGTCGCCTCCCCCGGTGATATTGCTAAATAAGCCCCCCCCCCTTTTTTTTTTCTTTAAGACCAGAACTCTCCAAACTTGGCAACTTTAAGACTTGTGGACTTCAACTCCCAGAATTCTCCAGCCAGCTCTGGGAGTTGAAGTCCACAAGTCTTAAAGTTGCCAAGTTTGGGGACCCCTGTTTAAGACGGCAAGCCACAGTCAGAGCTCGGCCCCGAGCAAGCAAACCGCCCCGTGGCAGGGACGGAGCCAGGCGCAGAGTTTTTGCAAAGCTTGCAACTCCTTGATAAAAAGTGTTCTGCTGCTCAACCGTTTGACTTGGCGCGAGGTGGGAAGCCCGAAAACAGGATTTATTTTTTTTTCCGATAAAAAAGCCACTAATTAACGAGCGCCTGTGCCATGTGGATGCAGGACTCGCCTCCAGAACGAACAACCCCCCCCCCCCCGCCCCAAGCCATTGGTAATGGTTCTGAAGCCGCCCTGAAGTTTGAATAAAACCAACTCCAGCTGGGCTTGGCTTAGTGATTCAGGTTGTTGGTTGTTGGTGCTTTTAGTTTCTTTTACAATAACCAGCTTCCCGCAGGGCCCCAATGTGGTCATTTGGTTTCTTTAACCCATTTGTGTGAACTCAGCTTTTGTGGCCTAGGGAGGGAAGTGTGGTTGAAGAAACCAGGATAGAGGCCAGCCTCTCTAATCCAGGACAGTCCGGTTAGGAGGAAATTCATGAAAAAACGCAGAACGCGAGAGAGAGAAAAAAAGAAAAACCAATTCTTGAAAGCATGCTGAATATGTATTTTTAGCCTTACAAAGTTTGGCAGCAACACTCAGCTGATCAGGAAAAACTAAGCAGGGTGGGCTTAGGAGTGGATTGGATGGGAGACACAAGGAAATTCTAAGGCTGTGGATAAGATTAGGAAATGTGGGGGAAAAAAACAGGAAGGAAATTATAAACTCATTATCAAGAAAAGTGCCCAATCGGTGTCAACAAAACTTATGGACCTCAATTCCTAGAATTCTGGGAGTTTGAAGTCCACAAGTCTTAAAGTTCTCAAGGCTGGACAACCCGATTTGCAGGATACCTACCCTGGAGGAGGCGGAGGTCTCCTTGTTTGAATAGCAGGTGCATCACTCTTGGTTTTGGGGGCTGATGGGTGAAAGCAGAGAGCCTTGCTCCTTTTAATTCCCAGGGCAACTGTCAAAGTGGCTTTCAGCCTTTCTTCACATTGATAACCATTGCAGCAGACCACAGTTACGTGATTAAAATTCAGGTGCTTCTGAAGGTCACGTGATCCTCATTTGCAACCTTCCCAGCTGGCTTCTGACAAGCAGAGTCAATGAGAGAAGCAGAATTTGCTCAATGATCACATGATTCACTGAACAACCATGGCAAAAAAGTCCTAAAATTGGTGTGATTCACTTAACAACCAGATAACAGATAATCAGAATTTGAAGGGACCTTATAGGTCATCTAGTCCAACCCCCCACCAAGCGGGAGACCCTACACCATTTCTGACAAATGGCAGTCCAATCTCTTCATGAAGGCCTCAAGTGATGGTGCTCCCACAACTTCTGAGGGCAACTTCTGTTCCATTGGTTGATTGTTCTCACTGTCAGAAAGTTTCTCCTTATTTCCAGGTTAAATCTCTCCTTGTTCAGTTTCCATCCATTATTCCTTGTCTGGCCTACAGGCGCCTTAGAAAATAGCTTGACCCCTTCCTCTGTGTGGCAGCCCCTCAAATATTGGAAGACTGCTATCATGTCTCCCCTGGTCCTTCTCTTTTCTAGACTAGCCAAGCCCAGCTCCTGTAACTGTTCTTCATATGTTTTAGTCTCCAGTCCCCTAATCATCCTGGTTGCTCTTCTCTGCACTTTTTCTAGAGTCTGAACATCTTTTTTATAGTGTGGTGACCAAAACTGGATGCAGTACTCTAGGTGTGGTCTTACAAAGGCTTTATGGAGTGGTATTAATACCTCACTTGATCTCGATTGTATCCCTCTGTTAATGCAACTTAGGATTGCATTGGTTTTTTTGGCTGCTGCTGCACACTGCTGGCTCATATTTAGCTGGTTGTCCACTAAGACTCCAAGATCCCTCTCACAGTTACTGCTATTGAGCCTGGTTCACCCAGTCTATATGGATACTTTTGGTTTTTCTTGCCTAAGTATAGGACTTTACTTTTCTCTACATTGAATTTCATTTTATTGTCACCTTGCTTATCAATGGAAATTCTGATGTCAATTGTAGCCATAAGTCGAGGACAACCTGATGGCCTTGCGCTTCTGGAGGGAAGGCAGGGCATATGGTTAATCAGTAAATGGTCTTTTATATAAATCCTAATTTCTCATGATTTTTCATCTCCCTTGAGAGAAACTGTAGAAGCAAAGGTTTTTTGGGGGGTAAACTCACGGGTTTTCTGCGTTTTCACTTAAGTCATGGGGGCTACACTTGATTTGTCACTTGTCTGTTGATGCTGTTCTCTTAATCCTTTTAATTTTATTTCATCATAATAGACTTTATTGTTCTTGACTGCAAAAGTTAATGTACCATTTATTTCCTGTCCTGCGGCTTTGTTCCTTTAATCCCTTTCTGGGACACACACACAAGGGCTTCTTTGAGGCATAAATCGAATGATCGTGGTTGTTATGATCATGTTCATTTTTAGATGATACGGATTGGACAGCCAGACATGTGGCCAGAGATTGTCGTGTCAATGCTGTTGTTGCATACTTGGATTTTCAGAAAGTGCCTCATCGAATACATGGAGAAAATTAGCTCTCATGGAATAAGGGGATATTGGTAGTTGGTGAAAAAGAGGAAGCAAACAGTAGGAATCAATCAGCAAGTTTTTTTTAATGGTGTAAGAAAGGGAAATTCTCAAGGGCTTTACAGCTTGTTCATAAACAGTCTTAACTTATTTACAAGTAATCCTCAATTTATCAGAGTTAATGAATGTTCAGTTACAACTTACGACCTTTTTTCACATTTTTGACCATTGTAGCACCCCAGTGGTCATGTGATCAAAATTCAAATGCTTGGTAACTGATTGTCCTGGGTTCATGTGATCACCTTTTGCAACCTTCGTACAAGCAAAGTCAACAGGGAAGTGACATTCACTCAACAACCTGTTATTCACTTGACTGCAGTGATTCACTTAACGGTGGAAAGAAAGATCATAAAATGGGGCAAAGCTCACTTACCAAATATTTCACTTAGCCACAGAACTTTTGGGCTCAATTGTGATCATAAGCCGAGGACTCCCTATATTTACTTCCATTCCAAGGAGTTGCTCCAAATAAAGTAAAATAAAAATGCCAACCGAGAAAGGGGGGGAGGGGGAGAGAAGAAAATTTGCCTAAAAATCCAAGCCAATATTGTCCATCAATAATCAAAAATGCAATTCAAAGTCACGTGCTTGCAAGCTGCATTGTCAGTCATAGTATATCAGCGAGATGATGAAGTCACTTCTCTCCTTTGCTTGCCTTATCTTTTTAAAAAATGATCAGCTGCTCTGTTCTGTTATCGGATCCTGCAATTAACTGTAGGAACCATAAGCCAAACTGTTCTTGGCTGAGAATGTTATTTACACTCCTTTATATATGAAAAGATAATAGGGTCATAGCATCTAGTTGGCTTCTGTTGGTCTTGATACCACAGGGTTATTCAGATATTCTTAAATATACAATATCAGGTATGGTATAGAAAGAAAAGGCACAAAATAATGCAATAATATAGAAATTAATAACCTGAGTATTTCACTTTATTGAGATTAAAAGAATAGCCTGAATGTCAATTAAAATGAGTATTGTATTAGAGGAACTGTGGCTTCAACTTTCAAAATAAATCCATATTTTAGGAAATCTTGAGCCAAGGTCTTTTTTAGGGGGCTGCTAGATAAGAAAATAGATATGGCAAACAGTCTTTTATGTCCTGAAAAAATTGGGCAGTAGGAATAAAATAATGTGCATTCAGAAGTCAGAAGAGTTATTGTAGAAAATTAAATTTGATACAAAACTAGAATGCAGTCTGCGGGTTCGGTTTTAGCACTATTGAATGTGCCAAGGGATGAATAATAATATGTTTCACCATGATCTTTTTCCTTCTTCCCAGTTTCTGCAAATTCAATTTAAACTCCTAAGGAGACCTGTTAGTAGTTTGTAAAGTCAGTAGTTTCTTTTCTTCACTTATTGCTGCTCATTGACATGAAATATTACTCTTTCATTTTTATTATGGCCTAACCTGGGTCATGGCAAATATTATTAACCCAGAGGTTGCCTTCTTGGGTGGCTTTTAGAAACAATTGTGAAATTATTTGGTGTGAGATTTTACAGCCACATCCTCCTCTCCTCCATGGAGGTATGAAATAGAAGCCTTTAGTGTGGTGTGACCTTGCATTGGTTTGAACTGTTCACTTGTTGAGGTGACAGAGAAAGGCATGGAAGAATCACTCCTGTCTTATGGTCTTTCCCATATATTTAATTTAGATAACATCAAGGAGAAGAAAATACAGTGTAAGGTTAAAGTGGTACTTAGATACCGAACAGGTTGGACACACTGTTCTGGTGAGAAGTGATAGGCTTCATGCATTGTCTTAAATCATGGTTTCTTTAACCGTAATGTATTGGATAAATCACAACTGGTTGAGTTCATACATTATCTTAAACCATCACACTGGAAGAGTGGGCATAACCTATTGAGACAGAATTAAGCCACCATGTAGCTTGGTGGACTCATAAAATGAATTAATGGAACTTCCAAACAGCTTTGAATCCCAGCTCCATCTTTTTCTATAACTTAACTATTGTTTAAAGAGTTTAGGGGTTTCAGTAAAGGTTGAGGAACAGGATCAATGTTT